TTTTCTTTGCCTTTTAGCACAATAGAATTGTTTATACAATTATATTAGGATTTGTTTCCGATCTCGACAACGCGATACATATACAGGATATGAGATAGTTATTTTCAGTCTTTCGTAGCTTTTTTAAGTTGAAAAACGTTCTCAACTATTGATCACAAGTAGTTCGGACGAACTAATCCACAAATATTCATAAATATCCAGATCCTACTTCACATATCTCGAGGTAACCAAGGTCAATAGTAACGAATTCAACTGCTTGTATCCAAACGGATCAATCGAAGTTTATTAGAGTCACAAAGGACGGTTGCGGCTTCATTTTCACCACCACAATAGTGACTCGATGAGAACACGGTTAATAAACGACCATTCAATTGAACCTAGACGACAAAAGCATTCCCATCGAGGTGAGATTCATGAAAGACTGATGTACTTTGAAGCCTTGTTGCTGAACTTCATGTGCGCGTACTACATATAATAGCGAGTTTCGTTGAAGAAAATCATTCAGTGCTTTCGATGAGAAGAAATATCCTGTTCCTCGACGAATATTGGTTATGAATCCATTATTATCTGGTTCTAAGTCTTGAATTTCATTCGATAAAGGATCATTCCATAGTAATTCCCAGGCAAGTGCTGATTCATTTTCTGGATCACGTAACGGACATGGAATTTGAGAAACTAATTTAAAAAAATCGTTTTTCATGTCTAATGAAGGGATACCACCGTGAACACAGAGAATACGATTATCAACTAGAGCGCCTGTGGGTATATAGAAAACACTAGATGATGAATTCAATGTTTCAAAGTGTTTACAGATGGGCATTGCGTCGAAACAACGATTGATTTCTTCCCAAACTTGTTCGCCAAGATCCGGACCGAATTTACGGCGGCATTCACTATGAAATTGAAACATGTCTTGAACATTCCGTAATTCATGATTTCCACGGAGAAGAAAAACCTAGAGGAAGATATCAGATTTGGTTTCAAATGCTATTGAGCTAACTTTATGTGGACATAGAAGTTTTTGTGCGAAGAGATAAGCAACAACTTCAACACCTTCTGGGCCTCGATCGACGTAATCACCTTAACAATTTCATAAACCAACATTTTTCTATATCTGAGGCACAATTTACCTAGAAAAAGTATCGATGCAGGCGTCAATACAGGTCCCAGTCGCCAAAAGGTTTTTTCGAAACAAATCAAATCACGAAAATTTCCATGTAAATCACCCACTGTCTCAACACAATTTTATCCCAATGAAGAAAACAACAACACTATTGATCTCACGGATATAGCATGCCGATGAAATTCGTAATAAACGATTTTCCTTAGCAAATACTGAATAGATCTGTTTACACAAAACTAATAAACAACGAGCCATGGCAGACATATCAACTTTTCCCCATGTATATGGATCTTTCAGTGCTGGTCCACCTAAAACCCATCGTAAAAACGAGCAAAACTTGCCCACAAACACATATACCTTCTTTTGATCCACGTTCGAAGTATCTTAATCCATTCAGCATTTCATTTGCATGTGTACGTTGATTAAAGCAATCTTGACTATTTATTCGATCAAATTTTATATGATCATCATCGAAAAACAGAGCTGTACTACCACTAATCGCTCCAGTTATTTCCATATCATACAACGATGTTATGTCCACCACGACACCTGTTTTCTTAACCTAAAAGTTTTACTGTGTGAAAGTACCGAGCGTTGTTGAGCTTCGAACTATGAACAAACTTTCACAATGTGAGTAGCAATTTCATAGGGATGAGGTTCATGAATTGAAATATTTGATATAGCTGGCAATGATGGCGAAGTCGGCGTACTAGTTGATCGTCTCGACATTGCTTTTGTGCTCAACGTTCGATTTGATGTGGTTATATTCGAAACGGATGGTTGTATTGTCAATGCATTAGATGCTGGAGAAGCTGTTCGTTTGAAATATTCAGTTAACGATGTATTCAATCGAAACAGAACGGATGTTCCACGAAATCGAAGTTGACCAACGCCAGACAAGAAATCCATTAGACTTAAAGTTTGCTCGCTGGATCGAAGACCGAACGAGCGAAACATTTGTAGTGCTTCCTCATTCAACGCTTCGCCGACCAAATTTTGTCCTTTATTTTTATGAATTTCTTTAATCATTAGTTTAAACTCTTCGAAGGTCATTCGTTGATTATTACTAAGATTGTAATAACGAAAGATATATCGGCAACGTTGTTCGGCAGGTACACCGCCATGTTGAGTACTCGGATCAAGTGCAGCTAAACCAAGTAAATAATCAACGTAGGTTAAATAATTTCGTTGTGTCGAGTCAAAAGCACGAAAATAATGGGATAGTTCGGAAGATTCTAAACCTTTACGTCGAAGTAATTGCTTGAATGTTTCAAAATTTAGATAATCAGATGGTACAACTGTGTGATGATACTCTTCATAGAGTTTTTCTTGGATCGTCAGTGTAAACTTCGCTGATAAAAGTAAGATCTCTGCTGTATTTGATTTCGGAATTGTTTCCGTTTGCGGTATTTTTGTTTCTTCGAATATTACATTCGTCGGTTTCATTCCCGAATGAAATATATCTTTGAATTGTTTGTTTAGAGTCAACGGCTCAATCCCCAGCAATCGTGAAAATTTGCTAAGATGTTTCAGCTGATTATTTGTTAACCAAACAGTTTCGTTATCAGAGAGAAGATTTAATTGTCGCTCAAAATCGATTCCGTCAACTTTACCACTTGACCATACGTTGATCACTGTGGTTGACTTTGGAATGATCGCATAGAAAAGAACATCGCGACCTTTGAATGGTAGAGTTTTAGTTGAGCAGATTTTGACAAGTTGAATTTGATCTGCATCATAAGCAAGAAGTGGATCAAGTAGACGTTTGACTGTCTGAATCGATGTCTCATTCGGACGACGTTCTGCGAACAAAAACCAAAGACCATTTCGATGTCGATAGTTACTCATCAGATAGACATCTTTCGTTTTATCATAAACCACACAAACGATAAAATCCAATGCTGAATATCCATCGACTGTATCATGACGTGAATTTTTCTGATACATAGGAAAATGAAAAATAAACGAAATAAGTAGCGCTTATTTAACTTTCAGTTTGAATTGACTCGTTGCAAGGAAGCAAAAATTAAAGTCGTTCATTTGGTCTGTATAGCACAGAGGAAGTTTACCAAGTCTTATCTGTTTTTATTTTGAAATAGAGCAAAAGCAAAAGAACGAGCATGTGTGAAAGTATTCTAGCAAAGGGAAGAAATATTTCAGAAACGAACAACAAACAACACAGCACAATAATAAAAAAAAACATTGAAAATGGTGACGAAGAAGAAAATTGATCCTTCTAGCCTAAATATGATAAATAGAAATAAGTTAGGACAATTAAGATAAAATAACAACGATATCAATCGTCGTAAAGAAATAATGTCTATTAACATAACACGACAAGTATGATAAATGTTCAAAGTATCATAAACAAACAAGAATAAAGAGATAACTTTTAATAATTCATAGAGACGGGTATAGGTGCTGAACCTTGATGAGGAATGCCTTCAGGATTGAAATGTTTTAAATCGCCAAGAGGAATGGACGAATACGAACCAGTACTAGCAGCATAACCAGGATGGCCACCTACGCCGGAGCCCGATCCATAACTAGCGGATGAACCAGGTCTCTGAAAAGCATCATTACCATTTCGTTGACGGAGTTCTTGATACATTTGTTGCTCGACTTGATCAGTTTTCTGAACGATATCGTAGGCTGGACGACCATATCGACGTACTAATGTTGATTTATCTGTTCTTTGCCATGTGTTATTAATCGTGGCATCGAGGACTTCAATTGGGGCTGAACAGCTTATGGGTACACCGTTAACAGCTGATGCGCTATTAGTTCGGACTAAATTTGAATAGGATTCGTGATAACCGCCGCTGCTAGCGCCACTTGCGACACCTTGTTGAATGTTAAGTTGAGCAGCTGACTGACTATGTTGGAATGGATCAGGAATGGATGTTGCTTCCTGATAGACACTAGCCATTTCATGACCTGATGTTGTGTATTGTTGTTCTTGTTGCGTAGGCGTATAACCATAATCGACACCACCAGCATATTCAGCACAGCGGCCACCATAAGCTACAGGTAAATTATCTCGATAGACATATTCTTCTTTGGTTGATTTACCGCTCGTGCTTTCGTGACCGGCACCACGCACTGGTACGGGCACTGGTTTTTCACGATCAATAATAATTGGTCGTTGTGTAACTGGCACGGGTCGATCGACAAGGACAGGTCGAGCAACATGGATGACTTGAGGACGTACGATGACACCTGAAACAAGGATAAAAAATAATTTCAATCGTTGAAGATAGGTCAACTGCAGGTACATACGTTCTCGAGGTACAAAGACAGGTTTAATAACAGGTACATAGACATTACGTGGAATGTAGACTACATTGGGTGCTCCACTACTTGTTGTTTGTTGTATAGCTGGGCCAGCGGCCTGTCCTGTTTCACCTATGATTACAGAAAAAAATTTAGATGAAATTATTCAACAGATGTTTGTTTGCAATTATTGAATATACCTTGTCGTGGCATGTAGAAGACAGGTTGAATAGGTTGCACAATGACTCGAACTTCACCGTTCCCACTACCTGACGGTCTCTTTTCCGTTTCTTTCTTATCGTCAAAGCCAGCGCTTGGATTAATTTGCGTTTGTGTGCCACCATCATGGCCAGTCCATTGTATTTTCGCACCTGCTCCTCCATTTTGTACCATACGTCTATGCAGATAAAATCTCAAGTAGAGAACGTGAATTCTAATAGAAAAAGAGCATTACTCGATAGCTCCCAGAATATCATTGCGGAATCGTTCGAAATCGAAGGATGAATCAGGTTTTGGACTTCTTGATCGAGAACGTGATCGTGAATGAGACTCTGATTTATCGCGTCCTTCACTCTGGAGAAGAAAAACAAGTTTTCTTTTGTTTATTATTCTATGAAAATAGTGATAAAAATAATAGATGCATACCTTGGCCCGTTTTTGCCAAACTTCAATGATGGTTGCTCGATTGGATGAACTTCCTTCGGCTTGTTCTCTAAGCACGGAGAAAAAGACGAAAGATCAAATTCAGTCTTTAGTTCGATAGACGAATCTAAGATGAAGTCTGCAACAAAAATTGCTTACCCGCAGAAGCCGCTTTGATAACCAGATGGGAAGCTGCCACCAGACGAGCCCATATCACCTGAACCTGCTTCGACAATATAATCAGCAACGAGCTGGGCTTGAGGTGGAATAGGAAGACTCGCTGCTAAGTTAGCAAGTCCACCACCTGAGCCAGTAGCTCCCATCGGTCCAACTAATAAAAGTTTACACGAAGAATTGAACTTCGAACTTCCTGAATGAATACTAACCTCCACTATAGCCCATACTGCTTGTCGGAGCTCCCAAACTGCTCATACCTCCGAGACCAGCTTGGCCCATGCCGCCAGTTCCAACAACTTGCGCATGATACATGGTAGCACCTGGAGGACATGGACCACCCGGAGCAGCTGTTAGGATCATTTGCTGCCAGCCAGGTGGACATCCACTTAAAGCTGATGCTCCTGGACAAGGTTGTGACATTTGTATAGGCAACGGTGCCGGTGAAAGAGCTGATATTTGTCCTTGAGATCGCGAACGAACTTCTTTATCAACGCCTTGAACTTCAATTTTGCCTTTGTATTCATAGCCAGGTGGTGGTTCTTGTCGATGTGGACTATGTTCGCCACGTTCAATAAAGATTAAATCATCATTGATATGACCATAACCATCGGGACCAGCTGCTGTGTGCCCTTGGTTGATACGCGATTGATGTGATTGACTGTAACCTGCATGATCAGTACTGTGATGGCGGCTGTGACGACGGCGTGAATGAGTGACTTCATCGCCACGAGTTTCATCGTCAGCGGATGGAATTGGTGAGCGTACTTGTGGTGCTTCATTACCCAGAACACTTGATGATCGTTGGCCAATTAATTGTCTTAAAGAATAAAAACATGTACAATGTATAGAACAAATGAGACGAGTAAATTTATGCTAATTACTCGGGTATTCCTTGTGTTTGGTCACCGCTGTGATTTACCACGTCAGCACCGTGATAGCGGTGTCGGTGGTGACGTCGATGGTGTTTTATCATAGTTCCTCCTGGAGTACCACTATATTGGCTATAGCCAGCACTCTGTTGACCATAACCATAGCTGCTGCCAGTACCGTATTGTTGTTGCTGTTGCTGTTGTTGTTGTTGTTGTTGATTGTAATAACCATGTGTCGTGCCTACTCCAAAACCACCAGCGCCATATGGAACTCCAAAGCCATTGCCATATTGAGCACCATCGGCTAGAATGACAATACTCTGAATCGACCGTAAATTACAGTCAATCTCTTACTCTGAAAATGATGGCCATGATCGACTTTGTGTATTGATTCGTCGCGGCTTAGTGGTGAATCTCCAAGACCATTTTGTCTACCTTTACGTGCACGATGATGACGATGGCGATGATGATGAACAGAAACTCCTTGTGGTGCGTATCCCGATGACAGAGGAACGGCGCCAGCACCGCCAAAGCGCGGATCAATCATTATCGATAGGCAAACAAGAAGTTAAACACACAACAAAAAAACAGTCTAATCAAAAATCTGAAATAGGAAAATGTACGAAAAAATACATTAATTCAAAGAGCTTCATCCATTTCGCTAATGTCGAACATTTTTCTATATCATATAACGATGACATGTTCGAGGACAATGTGCAAAACCATCATTTTGTGAAGACTTTGAAATATTTCATTCGATGTCAATGTACGTATCTAGATACGTATACAGATATACGGGTACACTATAAAAATGTATATATATATATATATAAATACATATTCTCTATTCATATTTCACTACGACCATCATCACATGAGTAATTACCTAGAAACGATATAAAAAATCTCAAGAGGAGCATTTATGACAATCAACTCACCTTCATACACTCGGTCACATGTGCATACATAAACATATGTATAGATGTAGGTAGGCCGATTGTGACGGATGAAAGACAGTCTTTGCACTGTTACTTTTAATAAACAACGACGACACCGCTATCGGCAATCAGTCCTCAACAATATCGAACATATATATGTGTATATATTTGAAAATGTAGATGCGTGTGTCTGGACTACACCGAAGAAGAAGAAGAAGAAATAAGTATGTGAAGTAAAAAAGGGTGACAAGCACAATCTCTCTCCCTCTCTTGCATTTCATCTCAAGCGTATCGATTGACATGCAGCAAATATATGAGAGAAGAAGAGGCAAAGAGAGAGAGAGAGATAGAGAAAGAGAAAGAGACAAGAAATATGAAAGAGAAGACCGCAACTGGTATATCCAGATTAATAATCTCATCATATTTGATATGAATGATGTGATATGAAATAAGTGACTGGTCTTTGAAATGTTTTCCAATAAAAGAAACGAGCAAATTTAATTTTACCGTACTCTAATATAGTAATGATCATCATCATGATGAAAAAAGAGAGCTATTTCACACTAATTATATTAACGAAACTTCATTTACGGAGAAAATCAAAATATACAAACAACTATATAAATAGGTGATGTTGTTGTTATTTTTAACTATCGTTCCTCTTATTATAGCGTATCACTATGATCATGTTATAATAATAAAAAAACAAAAATACACATTTGTAAATATTCAATTAAAAAATGACAAAATCTTTCAAGAAAATCAATACTTACCTGAGGTGGATACACTCAATTAGATATTCCAAAAAGAAAAAGGTGACAAATATTTATCAACGATACAAGAATATTATTTGTACAAAACAGGTATTTACTTATCACTTTTGTCATCAAACAAGAAAAAGGTGACGTGTTTTTAACAAAAATTGATAAATACGTCTAGCTATGATATACTTTATTTTTAGCCCGACAGATTTTCTCACGTCTATCAACTTTCCTACCTGGAAATCATAACCTCTCGTTACATATCACTGCACTGCACGAGCCCATTTTCTAAATTAAAACTAAATACAGAATGATGACAACGTAACGATCATCAACGAATCATTTAAAAATGTGTTTCTACATATGTATATATAACTATTTAAAGGTGATAGCGGACACTGTACTCATTATTATGATATGTACATTTATATATGTGTATCGCTCAACGTGATGTTCGTTATATGCATTGGCTAAATCATAAGAATATCTTTTCTCTTTTTCTTTATTTGCCGTTGGAGATGAGTGAAATGCAATGGAGCATGACCAACCCTCAGCCTTGCCTGTACACTTCTCTTTCTCTCTCTCTCGGCGGGATTTTATCATCGACGAAAGAATGTTGGGTTCAAAAAAAAAGAAGCAAAAGATATTTGAGATGTGTGAAACAATCATCTAAATAGATCTGACGCGAGTGCGGTAACATTCAATTTACATGAACAATACCAAACAAGATCATCATATGATGCAACTATTTCAAATCGAAATCAGCGACATGTCGAAACTAAATTGAATTCATACCGACGATCATATCATTTTGATTTGTCATTGCTACGTGTATAATCATTTGACCAAGCAAAAACATGATATTATTCATTACAATTCTCTTATTTTCAGAATTGGTGAATGTCGAATTTCGGTGCATTCTTCTTTCTGATCCGCATCAGCTACGACCAAATCGCAGCTGAGTTTTTGAATTCGAGGAGGTTTACAGAAAGTGTTATCGAATCCTTCTTGTCTTATGAGAAGAAAGAAACGCATCGATCAGGTTATCATTGATTAAAATCTCCTTTTGCTAGGATATGTATCCTGTCAGTTCACATCGCCTCGAGTTTCAATTGACAAGTCATGTTTCATTAGCAATGGGTGGAAAAAACATCAAGATTATTATCGATACTGTTCACACATTCGCACATTTTCTCGTTCAAAAGCATCTGAGTCTTATAGAAATCTATCCGAAAATCGATTTGCTTAGAAATTTTACTTCGAAACTAGAAAAAAAAACACGGTAACGATTAACAAAAAAATAAATAAGAAGAAAAGTAACGTCATTTACAAGTTAATTATTTAAAATGAAAGAAAATCAATCAGAGTAATCGAAGGCGACTCTCATCAATCGCTTCTTGTACGACTGGATGATCAAAATAGTCAATTGGTGGTTCGTTGTAAACATCCTGTTCTTCATTATCATCATATTCATCTGGAGCGATAAAGTGCGGTTCTTTATTTATAATTGACTCCATTTGATATGTCACGCTGTCTTTGGGAAAGGTGGATGTTGAAGACGACGATGTCGGAACAACTAATTCGATATCTAAATCTTTTAAAACTTCAGCCACTTCCTGACTTGTCATTCCAGCAATGTCGGACCCGGGTTTTAATTTATATTGTCGATGTTTTTCAAATAATTTCGTGCTTGCCAGAATTTCGATGAATGTTCCCCAGCGATGTAAAATCATCGTACAGAATTGCACGACCATACACGAAGCAAAAAATAACATGAATAATAAACCTAAAACTTGAACCTTTGTTTCATGTAAACCAAAGATTCGACCGACGTCGATCATAATCTCTGTAAACTGCGTTGCAACGTATTCACATTGAAATTGTAAGATGATCCAAATGGCATTGAGCATAAAAAATGCGAAACCTGCGTTGTTTCGTAAGCCAATGAGATCATTTTGAATGCGACGTTCTTCTTCCGCGTCTTTATCAAGCGGCGCGATATATTTTTGAAGTATTTGCTGCCAAAAAGTAACTTCATCGGTATGGAGAAAGCCAATAACAGATTCCGAGCCAAGCCATGGTAATTCTGACCAATACGGATTGATCATATTGTTTCGTGATTTGTTTAAGATCGATGTTGATGCAGTTGTATTGCTTGTGGAGTCATTACCGCTGGTGATGATTATCGGAATGTTATTTGACGATTCTTTGGAGTTCTGCGATGAATCATCACCTGAAAAGTTAGAATTAGATGATGACGATGTGTGTTGGTCGGAAATTTTACTGTGTGGTTTCTGTACATCATCATGATCGAGTTTCGTAATGATTTGTTGTAAAAGTGTTTCTTGTCGTTTCATTGTTGGCCGAAAGACTTGTTCAATGACATCACCCGCTTGGTTGAGAAAACCACGTTGTTGTTGTCCATCACCCCAAAACATATTATTGATAACATCAGTTGCTCGACGCTTTTTTGCTTCTACATGGATGACATCAATCAATTCATTACCTCTTACAGCATATGTTACACTTACTTGGTTCGATGACTTCTTTTTCATTAGTTTTATCCTTTGTCTTCTTCTTTTTCACAACTTCGACTGTTTCTCGCGTGCCCCATGAAACAACATGTAAATTACATAAAGCATAAGTGACCAAAAGAAGATAACCACCAGGAATAGTGATCAAATAGAGAAAGCCATGAATCAAGTTAAACATTTCGTTCGGATGCAGAAGACCAGTAACAATGAATGTAATCGCAACACTGGGAAGAAACACGGCACTCGGATCAAGAAAACCAGATTTCACTATTTGTGCTGCTGTTGCAACCAAGACCATAGACATAACCAAAGCATATAGTGCTGCAACAAACGAAATGAAGACTTGAATTTTGAAAAACGAAAAAGCTTTACAAGTCATGATAGCTCCAATAGCAATTTGTGTACTTGCTTTGGTTTTCAAGCAAATGATAATGTAGAAAATTGATGGAAGAATTGATATCATATAGGATTCAGCGATTGTTAATGTGGAGAAAACTGTTCGCAATGCCGAAGCAATCGTCAATAAAATAGTTCCTGGTCCTAAAACTGTCGAAACGAATAGAACTGCCTGATAGAACATGTATAATTTGGAAATATTTTCATTGACATAGGTCGTATGTTTTGTGTCTTTTAATAAATCCATAATATTCGCCATAGTCGACGGCATCCATCGTCGACGTTGATTAAAAAACTCTTTAAACGTTTCCGGTGCGTGCGTATAGGCATCAGAGGCAGCACAATATTCGACTCGATAACCTTGTTGCAATAGGAGAGTAGTTAACCAACGATCTTCGCCTACAGAGAGAAAAAAAATCAATAATCTTGTGAAAAATCAATTCTTAATTAATTATTTAACCTTGATCATATTGCACGTAATGTGCTGCTTCAGTTGATTTATCTGCATAACGTCGCATAACATTATCGTCCATCAATGACGAACCGCGAAAAAGTGAAAAACAACCGGGACAACATAGAACACTACCAAGTTTATGTTCAGCAGCTTTCTGGAGCCAATGGCCAACTGCGTATTCGAATTGTTGGTACCAAACAATTGGTCCTAGTAGAACAGAACTCTCTCGAAATGTGAAGAAGAAAGTCTTTCTTCGTTTTACCATCGCCTGTAGGATGAATTCGACCACAAGCAGCCGCAACTTTCGGATTCTTACGCATTCGATCAACTAATAGTAGAACTGCTTCGGGTTTAAAATCGACATCACCATCCAAAGCTAATACAAATGTATTTTGAGCCTAAATAGATCGAATGTCTTCATATCGATTGATCGTCTCGGAATGAATTGTACTTACAGAAATCTTCTTATCATGTGGTAAACTCTTCAAAAATTCACTAAATCCAATAAATTCGGTGTCTAAATTTGTGACAGGCGGCGATAGGTTATGTCCACCATTTTTTCGCCGTAATAACTTATATGAGAGTAGGTAATACATGTACATCACCTAAATATCATCAATAAAACAAAATCAGTCGACGGAAAGATCTTCAACGAACTTGACTCCAACGTTTTTTATGTCGAATTAAGTTTTTATCTTTCATATGAACTATCAAACGGTTCTTTCCCGGTAATAGCCAAACCAGACGTCCACCGTATGGTGTGGGAATTTTAATGGGATCGTCGACGACTTTTTCGACACCATGAACATAACTAAATAAGATTTTGTTTTGAAATTTTTAATGATCTAATCAAATGAAACTTTCATACGCTCCGGCGACATTCACAGCTGCAACGAGTTGTTTAACATAACGATTCGGTATACGATTTCCATGGTCATCATCTTCAAACGCATCATCGAACAACACATGCGTCTCAAATCGATAGTAATCAGGATCGAGCACGCGTAAATTTCTCTGGACAGTTCGACGAGCATGTTGATCAGAATCAAGTCTAGCAGATAAATTTGGATCAAATGAGGGAACTACTCGTTCATTTACCGAAAAATGGATTTTAACAGTTGAACCATTTCATTGGTTGTTTCGTGCCACATTGTTGCACATACGTAGATCATTGGTACAGGAAATTTCCGTTTCATAGCTAAGTCGGGCTCAATTTGATCTATGGACGTCACGATTGAAGGACTATCATAATCAGTTCTATTCCTACCGTTCATTTCCATCATATCCTTTTGCTGTTTGTTCAGTAATAAGTTCTGTTCGACAATTGCAGATTCATAGTACGGCAGAACAAAAAGTCTATGTACAAAATAGCATGATGAATGGAAAGGTGATTACGATTCTTACTTATGAATCATGGCCAAACGTTCAGATGTTGGAAACCAAACATGACTTGTTATTTTCATTCTTGATAACCAAAGAACCAAAAATCCAATCAAAGATATTACTAACAATTTCGAACCCAGTGCTACGAAAGACGAACAATATCGATTTCATTCTCTTCTATTATGTTTTACCTTGTGGTTTATCTAAATAAAAGAATTGACCGACCACAATAATATCTTTTTTGTTCGTAAATCCATGAGTAAAAAATAAAATGATATACGCAATCAAGGTCGACATTGTTAATGGTAACGAAAAGCCGAAGCATTGCATTAAAACCTAATTTTATCAAACGATCATTCATGTTTGTTAATGATTGATTCATCGACCTACTTTGCAAGCTATACGACCGGTATAATAACAAATGCACGAGGACAAGATCTGGAGAACAAATGGTACATAAATTTGTCTTGTCGCTCGAAAAAGATCTTCGTGATCGTCAAAGAAAGGAATAGCACGACTGTATCTTTCACCAATCGGTACTTGATCGAATATATGCAAATACAAGTTCTTATCGACTGATTTCGGTAAGAATGAAATCGCAGTGATGATTAAGACAATAATTTTCAACAAACTCGCCGTAACATACACTTTCGGACGTGTTTTTCGTAATAATCGAACGGCACGTTGAAACCATTTGAAGAAATGTTTGTTCGGCAAACGTGTTTCAACAAAGCTTTCCCAATAACCAAGTGAAATAAGAAACAATGCCAAAGGTAATTGCCATNTCGCAGTGATGATTAAGACAATAATTTTCAACAAACTCGCCGTAACATACACTTTCGGACGTGTTTTTCGTAATAATCGAACGGCACGTTGAAACCATTTGAAGAAATGTTTGTTCGGCAAACGTGTTTCAACAAAGCTTTCCCAATAACCAAGTGAAATAAGAAACAATGCCAAAGGTAATTGCCATTGAAGTTGACTCGAAACCTTTTCCGTTGTTTTAAGAATCGATGGAATAAAACAAACGGACAATTGCATGAGAACAGACGCAATATCACACATGAATATTAATAATTTCAAACTTGTATTATGATGACGACGGGTGGTAAAAAGATTTAGTATGGCCGGAACAATACAAACACCGTTCAATACGAATAAACCAGTAACATTGTCAACGGAAGGTAAAATACGAAAGACAAGCATAGAAAGACCAACTGTGTGACACGTTTCAGCAATATGAACCTAAACATCACGAATTTCAATTTGTTCTTCATGTTCTATTTCGAGTACTTACCCAAATTGTTAACAGGAATGGCGGAGAATGTTTAATACGAAAAATAGATAGGACAAGACTTTGCACAAATGTTAAAGTATACGGTACAATCATTGCAATAAGTAATAAGACTTGCCATCTGACAATGTATATCTTTGGCTAGAATGAAAAATTAGGTTTTTGACAGAGAAATGCCAAGAAGAATTGAAATTACTTGTTCAAGAGTTTTATACGCATTGATCATGGTAAAGAGACTGAGTTTGCTAACGACGGCTGATGTAAGAACAGCAAGAAAGAAAATGAGATAAACGCATATCTTAATAATACGACGAAATGTTAGGCGACGTTCTTTGTTTATGATTTGTTCTTCTTCGAAAATTCGACTCGTCACATGAGCCACGTCCCACCAATAGGCTTGATTAGGATCGGTTTTTCTTTAAAAAATAGGAATGAACCATAATCAATCAATCGATTGAACAAGTCTCTTTTACTTGTGTTTCATTGAATCGTCTAATGTATGCGATGTAGATTGTTGCGGATGTGTTCTAATTATAGAAGATGATGATAAGGATGATGTTGACGGTGGTCCTAGGTGTAGAGAAGGAGGAGGAGGAGGTTGCGATGGTGGAGGTGCCTGTGAACGTTTCATCTTCTCGTCAAATGTGATGGTCGTTTCAAAATGATATGCATATACCCTTTTGATCCAAGTGAAACGGACGAATATATATATAGATACATTTGTTAGAGGAAAAGAAAGAAAAGAATAACCAACTAATGAGCAATACAGTAAAAGCTTTTGTATTCATCGACGGAATGGTAGACGTAACCAGAATGAACCGGGCGTTTCTATTCGTATGAAAGTCATGCCACAAGCGTCTGTGTAAATAAGAGTCAACAAATATGAACGAATGTTTTGTTTGAACATACGTTTTTTCTGGCTATTTTATGAAAATATCAGATGAAGTCTACAATGTCATACGTTATGTACAAACAATAGCGAATCAATGAGAGAGAAAAACGGGTTATATAAAGAAATTACAAACAGGGATGCTATATACATCAGAGGGAGTTATATAAAAAAGAGAACAAACTAAGACAAACTGAGCAATGAAAAGGTGATGTCTTATTTTCAATTGAAAGCATCAATAGTATTAGATCATCTGACATAGTTACGTTCCAAAATGAAACTCAAAGTCACGATTAAAAGATTTTCTTTTGCCTTCCCTGCTTCACATTGATTGTATCGGAGTCAACGACGGAGTCGCTTGTGGTGGCGGCGGCGATGTAATTTTCTTCGATGTTGGTACGGGTTTAGACTTAGAAACTGGTTTAGTTGTTGTGGAAACGACAGGTTCGTCATCTCGCGCTGTGTCAAATGTTCGTTTTAGCAATGCATAAACTGGATATGTAAATGCGTTCGTTGGAACAGCACGGAGTGTACACGGCAAAAATCCTCGCGTAAATACCTGCCATCCTTCTGCGCGAAATGATTTCACTGCACAGTCCCAAACACCCTTATAAACATGATCTCTTGAAGCTTGATAACGGCTCTTGATGACATCGAATGGATAGGAAACAGTCCATGCTGCTATGCCAGTAAAGCTACCACCTAATAAGCTCATGTACATCGGCATGTCGGCTTCTCTGCCAGTTGAAGAAAAAGTGGTGACAAAGAACTGCCATGCAGGAAAGTAAGCGGCAAATGATGGAATGTCACGCGCAAGGGTCATTGATAAACCACGCATTGCACCTTGCCGAAGACCACGGCGACTATAAGACTTTCTTAAACAATCGATTGGACCATTGTACAAATGGGTCGATAGTGCAAATAATTTTCGCTGCTGTCCAATACCTTGCATTTGTAAACGTGTTTTCACAAGCTCAATAGGCGAACAGATAAATGATTGAACACAGCCAGCAATAGCGCCAGTCATTGCCAATGCTGTATAAGTATCCGGATTGTCAAAAAGACCTTTCGAAACATTCTGCACGGAAAAGACAATGCCATTAATAAGTGCAACACCAAGCATCGGCGAAGACATTCCTTTATAAAAGCCGAGTATAGACTCTTGTTTAGCAATTTTAATGAAGCAATCCAGTGAACCATTATATATTCGATGATTGAGCGTTTGAGTCTGAAGACGAACTTTCACGGTGTCGAATGGATAACCGGCAATTGTCCCAGTAACACCGGCGACGAATCCAAATCCAAAATCCAATGCCATAGTAAAATATTATACTAGAATGAAAAATGACGCCACTCAGCAGAGAATTGTACGAGAGAGGATGATGCAATGTCATTTGCACACATGAACAATGAACGAACGGAAGAAAAAACGAATAACATGACACACCTCCTTTGCGTTCGTCTCTTTTATTATTTTTTTTACGTATCGATCGACGTAAAAGGGGGCGAGAGAGAAAGAGCGATTTATGTAGGAGAAGAACTGCACGTGGTCGACTATACACACGAGTTAGTTATTTTATGTCGCGCCATATTTCTGTTTCTTTCGACGTCATTCGATTTTTCTTGCCGTCTTCTCTTTCCAGCCGCTGAAGAAGTGAATGTACTACCATCGCCAGAGAAAAAAAGAAAAACACATATCAAGGCTTCTGGATTGTTTCTCATACGTTTTATTTCAGTTTGATTGAATTTGGAACTTTCTGGAGTATAGAAAAACGTACTTTTAGTAGAAAAACAAGGCGTACTTTTCACTCCTCTTGTACATCAAGAAAAAATACTGTTCTATTTGCCAGGTCATAAACTGTCACGCAGCGAACAAATGGATTGATCTTTCTCAGGTGAAACGTCTCTCTTAAAACGAACGCTGATCAAGAAATGTACTGAAAATATGCATATCTGCGAATCTGAATCTGTTCGCCAAGTTCGAATCAGTTTAAATATAGAAAAGACTATACAGGCAGAACGCGAACGAAAAGTATGCAGTTTACCAGTGAATTGAATCGGCGATTTTCAGTATAACACTGGCGATATTTCATATTATCTCTTCCTTATATCTGAAAGTGAGGCAATCATAACACAGTCATTAAATAAATACAGGACAATGTATCAGTAATGGACATTTCTGATTGGTCTATAATGAGTCATGCAATTACAAGCTTTTGCAATTGTGCAAATGACCAACTTTAGTTCATGCCTGAGAACATTCTTTTATCCCACCACGATTGCCAATACGTGTTCCATCTGCGAACATTTACGTCCGCATTCGGCACAGTATGACAGGAGAATCTCTAGAAAACTATGAATCACGTCCTACCGTTGCCTGAGCCGTTGCGTGCTCTGCAAGTTTACATAATGTCATATATGTGACTTTTCTCGTTTGAAATAAATCACATGCTACTTTTATTGATTGCTACAGTCGACAAAATATTCAATAGTCATTGCGCATATGAAAATGACAATGCGAAATCAGATGACGAAGAATATCGTTAAAGGTAGATAGGTGCAGCTTTTGAGATGCTGACTGAAGAGGTGTGTCCTTTGGGAATGTACGTCACATTCGATAAATACGCAATCAATTCGTACACAACAACAAACCGATGACGAAGCAAATTCTTGTTAAGTTTGATTCAACATCCGATAAGAAAATTCAGTTACATTGCATGAAATTTCAACTGAAATAATCGTCTATATTATAGTGTAAACGAGTTTAGGAGTGTTGTGACATTTGTTCCATTGAAAACCTTTTTAAGGCTCACTGTGAATGAGTAAGAATAAAGCATGTTCTCACCGATTTATACGCCGCACATAATCATGATGTGGAAGTTAAGGACAAACCAATAAAATATTCTCGCTCGTCATTTATTTTTAAGAACGTAACAAGCTACGCTCTCTCGTTCTAATACACCCTCCGATTGTCGATGATTTAACGACAACAACTAGAACGAAGAGAAAGAAAGCCGAGAAAATCACCGATGTTTATAGCACGACAGCACATTGACGATTCATAATTGCAGCGTCAGAGTCGAAACTGTGTTTATAGATGCCTAAATCTAGCTTTGATTTTTCCATCAAAGTAAATTTCTACATTGCGAATACGAATCAGTTTTAAAAGATATTTTCATCGGTTTTCTAGTTCTTCCATCCACCACATCGCACTGTTCCATTTCATAATGGTTTATTGAATACACGGACGAAGCATACGGTAGCTCAAGATCGTCTCGTTGTTGCTGAACGTCGTATGCTCGACGTTGAACGGCGAAAATCAGTTAGTAATCTGCAAACTTTGGCGTTTGAACAAAAGCAATTCGAGAAAAAACGTGCTCTACTTCAAAAACACCATATGAACTCAACTTCTTTTGAACGACCGCCTACAATGCGTGATCGGTCATCAAGTGATATCGCTTTTCCTCTTATACGCCCATCAAGTCCTCTCACAGGATCCTTACCAAATCGTCTTTCTAAGCTATCCATAAGTCTCAATGACAGCAAACAGAATCTTTTAGCTCTGCCAAAAATCACAGTCTCCGGACGACGATTCTCCGCGTATTCGGATGGCGATGTATCGGAAAATTCTATCTTTGCCAATGACGGCGATAGTGGCGGTGAAGAAGAAGAACATGCCGAATCCATCGCTCGCAAAACGTTGACAATCAACACTGAAGAACCCCCAAGACTACTTTTACAAGCACGAAAACCATTACCACCTATCGTGTCGATAATTCCACCTGAAGAAGATGTACTATATCTAACAAACACGGAGTTTTTGCATTTTTGATAACATTCGATTTCTCGCGTTAAAAAAATCTTAATACAATTTCTAACTCTTATGTTTTTCACTTAAGTCTACTGCTTGATTGATTCTTCAATTGTGGAAAACAAACTGTTTCCTGTCAGAAGAAATTTATTTTAACAAACGTAAAGAGAGAAAATGAAAAATCTGATCAAAAGTGTCATTTACATGAAAGAAGGAAAGTCACTTAAAAATATCTGACCATAGCTTGATTATATAAAGTTCACTCGGGTGTCTAAGCATCCGCATTCACACCTCGAATCTGTTCATAGCCTCGTCGATTTCTGAAATTGCCTCGATTTCGTCGATAGAGTGTTGCTCCGACGACGACTACGATGAATACAACAATACTCATCAGACAGGCAACAAGAACGACAAGTTTACTAATATGTGTTTTCGACGGATGAAACGGATCAGTCGAACAATCCATGGATTCAACGCGTAGATCAAGTAATCGTTTGCCAGCATAAGTGTTTGGTAGAGCACATGTGAGATTAATCGAATCTTTGACGAGATTTTGTGATCCAATGAGATAACGAATAAACCAACGAGATTCACAACAATCGAATGGATTGTTGTTTAAATAAATTTCCATGTCAGATGTGTTGGTATTAATCCAAGAAGCTAGTGGAGATGATTCGTTGATGACGCTGATTTGATTATCACGGAAATAGAATTGCTTTGCATGATTAGATCGGATCATTTCTATTGGTAATTGTTCGAAGTGATTCTTGTCGAAATTAACTGATACGAGATTCATTATCGAGGGGAGAAATTCTGCTGATTGAAATGAATTCGATTTCAATGAAATCGAATGTAGATTTTGAGAAATATTCACAAATGTATCGTGATCAATCGAAGTTAATTCTGCATTGTCAATGGTGATATTAGTCAA